AACTGCTTTATTTCGAATGCAGCTCCAGGAGAAATTATTTTTGTTATTACAAGATGATCTTTTTCTAGTGACACACAAATACACATACACACATATATAATTATATATTGACATACACGCATATAAATAGACAAGTTACATATGTATGTATTTGATAAATAGATCTCATATAGATGACAGATGATGGTTGGTAGACAGACAGATAGATAGATATACAGATAATAAATACATAGATATATACATAGATATTATCAACCCTGAAATTAATGATTGAAAGCAAATTCTTGTCTTCAAGCAGGCCAGACCTCCTGAAGAAGCTGGCAGAAGAGTATGCTTAGACAACACTCATGCAGTGAGTCATCTGTGTTTTCACAACATGTTTCTCCCCAGCACCCATGTCTATTTGTAGCCTGACAATAAAGGCCCTATCCAAACCATCTCTGAGCCGTCTGCCTTTAAAAGCAAGGACGTGGTTCTCAGCTGACTCACTGGAGCTGCTTGTGCTATGGAGAGTAACCTGCTGCCTTATTTATGAAAGAGATAATATAACTGCAGATACCCAGGTTTGCCCAGTGTTTTCTGCAAGGTGTTGGTCCTGTGTTTAGAAAGGTCAATGAAGGGAGAGGACTTGAATCCTTAAATAAGCCTATTACATACCACTGCTAGTACCCCATAGGGACACAGAAAAATGTTGTTTCCATCAACAATTTAGATAAAAGTCACATAAGCCTAGGGTTCTTACCTAATTTACTCACCTCACTCTATCTCCAGAATATAAAATTCTACCTATCTAACACATGGTAGGCACTCCATAAACATTTGCAAAGAAATAAATTAGTATTTGTCATATACCTATGAAATGACCTAAGACTTATCACCAAATCCACAAAATATGTTGTTGTCCTAATGCCAAGTCAAAAAACCTTCTGCCAGCAAATTAAAACATTCATAAGGTAAGGTACACACCCTTTCAGTCATGTAAGGTACACACCCTTTCAGTCACTCTTCAATGTGTCAAGCCAGCTCACTCCCTAGTTCTTAAAACAGAACAAAAACTATTCATTAATTTTTCAGTTCAAAAATATGTATTAATAACCACCAATTTTCCCTATTAATCCTTATTTATGCTTTGGCCATCCACTGTGACTCCTGCAAGCTGTCTAGAAGGACTTTGCCAGTATTGTACTAAAGGGAAAAGACTTCACATGCAAAAGAAGTCAAGTATGGTGTTCAGTATTTTCATTCATAGAAACCTTTAAAATTTCACCTATATTTACTGTTTCAACAAAATTATCAATATAGGTTACAAAATCTATTAATAAAATAATTAAAGTACATCCAAAAAAATGTCCTCATGAGTCTGTATAACTTTCCAACTTCCCAGGCTAATATCTGACAAATATTTGGGGGCAGTGCTTAACACAATGATGCTCTAACCCATTCATGCTTCTGACATCTTCAGAACCCAGAAAACAGTCAGGGATTACCAAGATTATATAAAACAGAGGGAAATTCCATGATATCCATTTTTATTATACAGCAAAGTCTACTATCCCAAGGACTCACTCAAATAGAAACTGAATCATCCAAAAGTTACCAAAACACACTTGGATAAACCCCCTTGCTCTTAGATGCTACTACGTTCTAAAGGTAAATCTGGGATGAAGATCTGACTCAGTGGTAGAGTACTTGCCCAGTGTACTGGGTAGTTTGATGTCAAATTGACACAGCTAACATCATCTGAGAGGAGGAAACTTCAAGTAAGAAAATGCCTTCATAAGATCTGGCTATAGTCAAGCTTGTAGGGCATTTTCTTAATTAGTGATTGATGGGGGGAGTGCCCAGCCCATTGAGGGTGGTGCCATCTCTGGGATGGTGGCCCCAGGTTCTCTAAGAAAGCAGGCTCATCAAGCCAGAGGGAGCAAGCCAGTAAGCAGTGGCCTTCCATGGCCTCTGCATCAGCTCCTATCACTAGGTAACAGCCTTGTTTGAGTTCCTGTACCAACTTCCTCCAGTGATGAACAATGATGTGGCAGTGTAAACCAAATAAACCCTTTCTTCCCCAAGTTTCTTTGGTCATGCTGTTTCATAACAGCAACAGAAGTCCTAACTAGGATACCCAGGATGCCCAAGACCCCAAGTTCAATCCTCAGTATACCCCCACAAATAACTTAAAGCTAAATCTCACAAGACTGTAAAGATTCTATTTCAAAAGAAGCATTAAATGTCCATGTAGGAAGCATTACATTACCCTTTCAATGAGAAGAATGTCCATTTAAAAAAAAAAACAAAAACCAACAACTCTTTAAGATGTTTCAGCACAAGTAGACCTCTGTATCTCCCAACAAAAGTTGGTTTTATTCTTAAACATCTTCTCAAAACCAGACAGTGCAACCCTCAAACATCATCAGAGAAGTTGCCTTGTTCCATGGGCAGTAATTAACACAGAAACTCACAACTGGTCAATGTATAGAGAATAAGTTTCTATGGAATGCTCAGTCATTAAGGGTTTATCAATATATGTCCTTTCCCTGAGAGGCTTAAGAATCATCCAAGAAGAGGGGAAGAAAGGCTCTGAGCCAGAGGGTGAAGAACTGGAGTAAAACGGAGCCCTCAGAAAATGACAGCACTACTGAACTCATGAACCCACAGCGGTTGCACTTGCCTACTGACGACCTGTGTTAGACCAAGCCATTCAACAGGCTAGCATGGAGACAGGATGTCTCCAGAGCCTCCATCTGAGGAGTTACTGATAGTGTATGGCTTCTGGGGTAGGGAGAATCAGTTGTACTTAAGGAAGTGACCCCTGGTAGGCCAACCATGCTTCACTGGTGGGCCCCACACCTCTGAGTATCCATTCAGGCAACACAAACCAGATTTAGAGGGTTATTTTCAATAGTGGTCATGACATTGGGTGGCTGGAGGGGTGGGGGCGGAGTGGCTAGGAGAAGTGTATCTGGGAGGAGCTGAGAGGAGGAAAGGATGAATATGATCAAAATATAGTATATGCACTTCTGAAATTCTCAAGAATAATGAAAAAGCAAAGGAACAGCCAGTAAATATGATAAGTATTTAATGGCAAAAATATATATTGATATACTAAAGAGGAGGGGCCAGGCTAACAAACAGCTGAAGCCCTCATGAATACATGTTTTAAATGCCACATGTGGCTGTATGTGTTAGCTTTACGCTGGCCTCAAGGTGTTTCCTCGGTGGATTCTTTTCCGCTGGTTTCCTAAATGATCCACTTTTGAGAGCATTATGCTGTAACCTGGATGAAGAATTGCCACCCAGCTTGAATCTAGATCAGAGTTTATGAAAATTTTATTACTGTTACAACTGAGTTGTTTATCCCTCTTATGAACAGGGATGCCCATGGCAGGGGCAGCTGCAAAAACCCTCTTCCTGTACTTTGGTTCTAAATCACACACATTTGGTCTCCGCAACCCATGCCCAGGGTAGCACAGAGATTCATGTTCTTTGGCCAGCAAAATGGTAGTTTTTAAACTGCTAATCAATGGTAATACTTGAGGGTTACAACCTTTCATTGAGAGTTTGAATTTCAGTGAGTCTTTGAAAGTCGGAAAATGAAGCAATTTAAGATATACAACTTTATGAAAAGAAACAATGAATGGCACTTGCCTCTTTCCCAGAAGCCTCAGCTTTTAGTGGCGCCTATACTGTGAGGGAGCCCGGGCCAGTCTTGTGGAGGAGCCACATGGAGCTTCCCTAGAACCCAGAGGCTCTAGACACTCTTAGCCTAGGCACTTTTGACGAGAAATCATCAGACAACTTCAAATTCTGAGCGCCATCTAACTGTGGTGCATATGAAGGGCCAAAGAAAGAAGCCCTCAGCTGAGCCTATTAACCACGACAACCATGAGATGTCATATAAAATGGCGGCTTTCTTTATCGGCTAAGCATACTTAACCTAAAATAAAACTGTGTAGTTTTTTTTCCCCTTGGTACTTGGTACCACAAAAGCGTTACCATCTCTATCTTATCTTTGCATCTAGAAAGGACTCTAGAGCATTAATATTTACTGGAGCCAAAGCAGAAATGTAACAAAAGTAATCTGCAGGAATTAGCTACATTGACAAACTAAGAAGCCGGCAGGCAGCCCATGTGAATGCCACGTTCAACACTCACGGGCAAGCAAATGGAAGGGTAGAGTTGGAAAGGGCTTCAACCGAGGTTCAGCTCCTTCACTGTGTATTCAGTACCGAGCACAGCACCTACTGTTTCTAATGCCTAGATCAACCTTAAGTCATTTTTTCCACACCTTGTTCTAACTGATGGCGGGTGCGGGGATAGATGACATCTTTTCTCTTATTAAAACTGTAGCTATTATTGACGTGAAAGGAAGGCAAACACCACCACCTTTCATAACCAACAAACTGTGGTTGTAACTAATGTTATAACATTAACTCGGCCAGGTTCTTTAAACAGTTCAGTGAGAGACAGTCCAGGAATAGAAGAAACAACTTCAGCTGAGATTCACTAAAGCTGAATTCTACTGGCAGGCAGGCAGGCAAATCCAGCCTTGAGCAAACCACTCCAGTGCTTGATGCATGGATGTGCTCATGTTCGAACAAGGGCAAAGAGGCAGGTACTAATCATACATCGTCAAAGAGTGTGATCTCTAAGTGAAACCAAACAAGGCCCATACATTCCCTATACCGGGAGCTCTAAACCTTGTGCACCACACACAGATTCCAAGCAGCTGAGATGCTTTTGCCCAAATAGAATTGTAGATCCTCATTTCCTCCCCTTCTTTTCCCCACTTGTGACTCAAGCCAGATTTCATCGAGCTATTTTTGTAATTACTAACATGCTGGAAATACAGCAGCGAGCCAGAAGCAAAGTAAAATGCAGCATCCAGCAAAAGAAAGAAAAATCACGCTGAGCAACTGAAGGGCCATCTGCTGCTCGCAGAGCTGCAGGGGTGAGAGGGACAATCTGCAATGGACTATTTGCGTCCTCTCTCACATCAGACCCACCTGCATGTTGTCAGTGGCATCCCCGAGCAGTCCTCCAAAAGTGATGGCGTTGGTTACCGTTGCCAGATAAATGAAGAGAATTGCCGAAAGAGCCTGAATATTTAAAGCATCATAAAAGTCACTGGCAAAAAATGGTGCTTTCCTCTTTATGTCCTTAATTAATCCACCACAGAACCTGGGCAGGGAGAAAGCAAAAACATGTGATCAAGTGTAAGATAAACAGCCATCAAATTCATCAAGACATAATTCACTAAACCGCAATGAATTTGGACTTCAAATGCTTGAGTCAATGACAAGATACTATATAAGACAGTCTCATTTAGATGAGACAGGAAAAAAAAAATGTGGAGAAATACATCTTCTTCTGTCTCTCTTTTTCAGTTACCAGAATAGGTCCAACACTCCCCAAAGATCATCCAGTTGTTCCTTTCAGATGACAGTATGGAAGAGATAAATTACAATTTTCCGTTCTCCAAAGACAAACATCCAAATACAGTGCAGATCTCCTAAAGCCCCTTAAGAGGTCACAACGTCATTTTACCCCCGCTCTGGTGTTCTCCAAGACCTGTGAGATGCACACACTCTGCCATTCTTCTCTGCTGGGGAAGCAACACTGAACAACCCAGGCTCTGAAGCTCTGGCCTCATGGAGTTTACTCTTGGGGACAAAGGGTAGACAGTAAGAAAAATAAGTAAATAAATAAAAAAAATCAAGGAAAAATTAAATGGAGGTGGGAATTATGTAGTTCTAGGGGAAAGGTATTGGGAAATGTGGGTAGACAGCCAGACTGGGCCTCTGAGAAAGTGAATTTGGAACAAGGACCCCAAGTGACGAAGGGCATGCAGGTGTGTGGCAGGCAAAGACACAGGTTGAACCCATGCACTGGCCTCCTTTTCTTCCAACAGAAGAAATAGCCTTCCCCACAGAATGTGACCTCTGGGCAAGGTACCCCTTTCTAAAGCCTGACACCTCATCCTCAGCTGCGCTGAGCACCCTACTTCTGTGTCCTTGCTGGACACTGGGTTGTGCAGCTACTAAAGGAATGTGGGAAGGGGAGAGAAGGAAGAATAAAACAACAGTTTGACGCATTTCAACACATTAAATTCCATAACTCATATCTGAGTTCTATGTTGACAATAGTGTGGTGGTATTGTGTTCACCAAAATATTGTGTACCTTAATAAACTTACCTGGGGTCAGAGAACAGACAAGCCACTAGTTAGTCAGTGATAGCACACTCCTTTAATCCTAGTATTCCAGAGACAGAAATCCCTCTGGATCTCTTGAGTTCAAGGCCACATTGGAAATAGCCAAGCATGGTGACACGCCTTTAATCCCAGAAAGCCAGCCTTTAATCCCAGGGAGTGGTGGTAGACAGCAGAAAGATATATAAGGCGTGAGGACCAGAAACTAGAGGCATTTGGCTGGTTAGGCTTTTGGCTGGTTAAGATTTTGGCCTGGTCAAGCATTCAGGCTTTTAAGCAGCAGTTCAGCTGAGAGCCATTGGGATGAGGACGCAGAAGCTTCCAGTCTGGGGAAACAGGACCAGCTGAGGAAATGGCAAGGTGAGATAGCTGTGGCTTGTTCTGTCTCTCTGATCTACCAGCATGGACCCCAATAACTGGCCTCAGGTTTGATTTTATTAATAAGAACCTTTAAGATTCCTGCTACACAATGGCAAGGTTATTCCTAGTGAAAATAGTTTATAAAGAATCGCAGTCACACACTGCTTAATGACATTGAGATCTGTGATGGGCCACATACGTGACAGTGGTCTCACAAGATGACAATGCAACTGAAATGACACTATCACATAGAGGCATCATTAGATATGATAATATTCTCCAGTACAATTCTTTCCTTGTCTGTCATGGTGGTATGCTGGCATACGCAAGCGTTAGTCTACTGGGAGGTATATAAAAGCATATAATCACACACAACCTAGCTGTGTTACCAGTTCGTGCATGTGATGTACTATAGTTTTTAGTGTTACTTTAGTGCATACTTCCTCTACTTACAAAAATAAGTGTACTGTAAAACAATACACCATGTTAAGCTGGCAATAGCTTCATACATGTCATTTTTATCTTGCCTTTTGACTACATCAAGAGGCCACAATGAATAACTGGTCTACGCCTTTAGATTTTTGTAAATAGAACTCTGATGTTTGCATGATGACCAAAATAATCTAAAGCCAGAGTTCTAGATCATACGTCGTCATTAGGCAATATATACAGTGGGGAGGTTTTAATTCTCCATTTTTTCAGAAGAGAAATAATTCCTTAGGAGAGAAACCCAAGTGGGTCAGCAGCAGAAGGAAATAATATCATTTCATTTAAATTCAACTGCATATTAAAATGATATATTTTTGGTTTTTTAATTCTGCAGTGATTTCCACATCTTCATGAAAAAAATAACCTACTAAAATTTTTACTTAACCCAAAATGAAAAAACAAAACAAAACAAAAAACAACAAAACAATCACCTAATAATGGAGAAGTGATCACAGAAGAAGTTAACGGAAAGGTTCTTAGAAACCAGAATCCTCAGTATGGGCAAGGAGACAGGGCAGTGGTCTACAGACCACCCCTTTCCACAACATGTTACACACTTTAGAGTAAACATACAGGGAAGGGACAGAATCCTGAAAGCCACCCAGGAAACCTGGGCCAGCTTCAGTCAGCCCTAGCACCATTCTCACCTGCTGTCACCTTAACCTTCTTTGCATCATCCCATCACTAGTTCCACTGGTCACACTGTCCAGATGTCAGTGTCCTAGGTGCTCTACGCCTCAGTCCTCTTTCCTAAATCACACCCACACAGACTGTCTCTCACCTGCTTTGGCATTTCCCTCAGACACTGTCCTTAGCCACAAGGCCCAATCTGATCACTGTCTAAAAATAAACTACTACTCATCACCAAAGTCCCTTTTTTCCTTCATTGTCCTCATAAACTCACTGGTGCATTTATTTGTTTGCTTAAGCCTTCTCACCCACCTCTACACAATGAAGCCCATGAGGCTGGGCATTGGCATACTGCTGTATCTCCAGTTCCTGTGACTAATAGCCCTACTATAATTGTCTGTTGGCTGAACAAACGAACAAAGCAGTAAATAAAATACTGAAAGTGAATTCAGAACAAGGAAGGGAAATTTAGATCTAAGGAAAACCTTATCACGAATGGCAAAAGGTCCCATCAGTTACCGGCCAGTTCTCTGTAGTTCTTCACAATCACCGTGCCCTCCTCCTCCATGTCCTCCATCATGAGGTGTGTCCCCATTCATCTGGACATTCTCTCCACCTGAGTACATATTCTTTCTAAGAAAGACAACAGGGTGAAAGCAGAGGTTAGTTTATTGTGTTCATTTGCTCTCATGGCTGTAGGATGCTTACAGAGACAGAGAGTGGAAGGCCTTCTCGGAAAAAGATCATGACTCCTTATTCTTTGCTAACAGACAATTCTTAACGTATTCTATCTCGAGGTGAGATAAATGGCTAGGTGAACACAGAGTTTAACTTATTGCGCAATTATAGGGATGAAGGTGCTTCACCTGGGGAATGACAGATTTCCAGGAAATGGTTTCTCCTCAACTTCTCTACTAAACTGCTTAACCTGCTAAGTCTGCAAGGGCTCTTCTTGACTAAAGTGATCTTTCCACAGACGCAGACAGAAAGTCCCCAAGACATCCCCCAAAGAAGGCCCATGACACTTTTCCAACACCATGAGCTGAGCTGAGTGTAAGCACTAAAGGACATCAAAGCATAGGACACTTGCTTTACGGTGTCAAGTAAATCTAAAGCCAAGGCAGATCAGAGACTCATTTGCGTCAAAATATCCATGGGGATCTAGAACTATCAAAGCATGGGCTGGCCCTACACCTTTTCCAAATGCAATCTCCCCGGGGGCTTGGCAACCCCTGAATATTGCCAAGCACATACCAGCTTACCTTTTGTCAGATGATGGGAGGCTCTTTGGAGGTTCTATCCTGATTGCTGGGTCCCATTCCCCAGGTGGGAGGACAATGACTTCATCCAGGAACTCATCAATGCCGGCAATCAGGTCGTGCCTATCTTTTGCTTTGTAAGCGATGTCATGGAACACCTGAATAGCAAGAGATGTGCTGATCAACCGAGGGAACCTTCTGAATGGCTCACAACACATCACAGCTGAGTAACACAGCCCACATTGCACTCTGACGGTCCCATAACTACACTCCCATCTTCCCCACTATTCAGGCTATTGAACAGGGCAGGTTATGATCTCAGCATCTAAGTAGGGGCTTGAAGACACAGAATTTTAAGTATGTTTTTCCCCCTCAAAATTCTCACAATCGCTGTGAGAGCCAGATGAAAATGTTTTCAAGATCCCCTGCTGAAAGCCGTTTCCTGAATTAAAAGTTATGGGACAACTGTCTGTGAAAATCCAGTAAGAACAAGTTCACACTGACTCTTAAAATCAGGATAAGGCACACTCACGGCTGTCCTCTAAAACTGTGAGCTATTTTAAAAGAAAGAAGAAAGCCTGAGTTATATTGGCAGAAAGGAATAAATCAGTGCTCACCTGCCCCCCGACCCCGCTTTTAGCAAGGTAATATCTAACTCACCAAAGATAGTACAGGGATTTGAATGAGAAATGGTCCCCATTGCCTTGGGCATTTGAGCACTTGCTCTCCAGTTGGTGTCAAGGCTGAGGGAAGTTCGGGAGGTGTGGCCTTCCTGGAGGAAGTATGCCACAGGGGGCAGGCTTGGAGGGCTTCAGATCTCACTGGACTTCTAGTTTATTCTCTTGGCTTTGTGCTTGAGTTTGATGATATGAGCTCTTGGCTTCCTGTAACTGTCACCTGCTGTCACGCCTCCCCATAATGGTGGTGGTGACTCTCATCTCCATGGAGCTTAAGCCTCAATGTTTTCATTTTTCCGTAAGTTGCCTTAGTCATGATATTCTATCATGGGGACATAAAGGTAAGTCCTACAGACAGCAAAAGCTTCCCATCCTTTGTTCCCATCAGAGAAGGGGTTTCGAAATGGCTCACAATCCCTTTTCTCAGGAACCCATTCTTCTAACTGAGCTGATCTGAAGGTCTTCACAAAATAAAGCCTTTTACACTTTGTAAGTTAATTATTTTTATCATCCAAAAGAGAATATGGCCCCTGTTCAATACCCTCCTATGCTAAGTCTTTCTACTATGTTGCTCTTCCTTTTAAAAAAATCGTTTTTAAGAGCTTTCAGGTAAATAACACTGGTTTGGGAGTTCTGGGGTTGATAAGGAGGCAATACACAGGGCAAGTGTTTCCTCTGTAGCAGACATATCCTCTCTCGCCTAATTTTCTCTGACAGACAAGAGTCAAAAATACACCTTCTCAGCCAACCTTGCCAGTAAATATTGGCAGTTTCGACCAATGAGATGTAAGAAAAGCGAAGTTGTAAACTACCTGTTGAAAGAGGCCCTCGTCAATATCAGACAGCCACTCTATGCCTGTTACATGTGGCCAAAAACATTCCTAATTTATATTAGGGAAGAATTTTAAAAGAAAGTAACTATAAACACACAAAATTAAATAAATCAATCAACTAAAAGGATGGAAATAAATGTCCTCTTGAGGGAGACAACAGAGTTGTGTACCAGTGCTCTTGGACCCAGAAGACAGCAAACAGCTGAGCCATAGTCATGCAGAACTTCTATACCACAGGGGGACAGAGCCTACAATTCTACACTTAACATGAAAAACTGACAAACCAGGCCACAGCTCAAAAGTAAAATATTAAGAAACAGCAAATTAGAAAGACTGGAAAACACAAACTCATGTGCCTATACTCCAACAGCATTTCCTCTACTGTAAGACTAGTTCAGAGTCTTATCATAACTAAATATGCGTATTAATACTAAAGCTGCTGTAAATATGGATGCAATGTCAGCTCCAAAGCACTAGATAGGAACTGTACCTGATGTACCATAGACTGGCCTCCTCACAAGACATAAACCATAAAAAAATATATTCTCATATCTCAGAAAATGGATCACCTACTTTATTATGCATTGTTTTATAAAAGTCATCATTTTTGAAATAATATAGTATAGGGACATATGAGTTCAGAGAATTGATAAATTAGACAGTTTAAGAGATAAAGTAATACAGTGACCTTGAACTTATTCAGCAATACTTAAACATTAGTTTTACCAATTGAAAATACATAAGGACTGTAACAAGGTACCTGCCTATTGACTACTTCAGACAGTAACTCTTTGTTGTCATTGAGAACACTCAAAATCCTCTCTATTAGCTATTTTTTCAGTATACAATTAATTGCCTTTAATCATCATTGCTCTACTGTGTTTCAGATTATTCCAAAGTGTATAACTGAATTAAAACATCACACAATAACCTATAGATAGAAAAACTTTATGATATTCATTTAATTTTTAAGAAATTTAGAATACTTTCTAAATATTTTTGCTTAGAATAATGCACTTTGTGTTAAGATCTAACACAAAACAAAACACATTCCTTAGTTATTGTTCTACATAAGGAAGCTCATTTTCCACAAATGATTTTATGTCACCCGTGAAGAGCCTTGTAGGCACATAATTCTAACTGAATGAACATGACAGTCAATTCACAGTCTGGATAGACACAAACAAAGTAATCACACATCCGCTTGTTGGGCTTCCCTACCTCATCAGACATCAAGGTGGCGATGGCTCTTCCAATCTCATGGTAGGACTTGGCTTTCCCCTTTGGACCTAAGAGAATGAATAAGAACCTAATGGAGAAGGAGAGAAGCAAAGGCTGTAACACATGTTTCATCAAACCAGGAAACTGTTATCTTAACCCATTACAAGATCAGCGGTAGAGATCACCTTTATTATGTGTGTGCACAAGTATGTGCATTCATGTGTGTGTGCATGTGGAGGCCACAGGTCAGCTGTCTTCCTGAGGAGCTCTTCCATTAGTTTTGGAGACAGGGTCCCTCACTTAATCTGGAGCTCCCAGATGTCGTGGGACTAGCAGCCCAGCAAGCCCAGGGGTCCTCCTGTCTCTGCTTGTTCAGCACTAGGATTACAGGCATACTCCATGGCACCTGGCTAGTTACCTGGGTACTAGCCATCTGAATTTGGGTTCTCTTATTTGTGAAGCAACGTTCTGCAGAACTGAGGGATCTACCTAGCCCTTAGAACTCATCTTTGAAACCAAGAACGATATAATGCTAAGGGACAGGAAAGATTCTTTCACACTATCACAAGGTATTCCTAAATTAATCTGAAGATAGAGAAGAAACCTAAGAGCCTTCTTCATTGAGCAGGAAAAGGTTTACTTATCTACTTTACAAATTGCTGGTCTGTTTTAAACTGTCTGTTGTCTTCACTTCTACTGACTTTGGAATCTGTGGTGCAAGTGTGTTAAGGGCATTAACTACAAAGACTTAGTCCATTTTCTGATTTCTCTGACCTTCCTGTACCCAGTATGGGCAGTGACAAGAGCTCTTCTCCACATTTTCAAAAAATATTGTTATTCAGCTGAGTGGGATTCAGTGAAAACCAAACCTTCACAAGTAAGCCACACACTGATAAGAAGGAGAAAGAAATATGAGACAAATAAAAAATTCAAGCACTGTTCACAGATAGCTAAAAGCCCTTTGTGGGTTCTCTCATTTTCCTTTCTAAATTTAGTTTCTTGATAACATAAAAAGCATTGCTCCAGAGCTAGTATGTCCTGAAGTAAGCAATGATGAACTTGTCACTTTGGAAGGAGTCCCTCGCTCACCATGAAGGCAGAGATGTATGTCTCCACTGAGGAAGAGGGAACCTGATAAGTAAGTGACTAAGAAAAGGATGTACACAAAAGGTGACGTTGGGTAAATCTCTGCCTTGCTATTGCTCCATGTCTTACCTAACAGGGAGACAGTGAAGACAACACACACCACGGAATCATGTGTTTGTACAGCTTCCGACAGCCGGCAAAGCACATTCATCACTCTATTTAAATTCCCACACAACCTTCTGCAAAACAGAGTGCCTCCTGTTTAACATTAAGGAATTTGAGGATGGGGAAGATGATAGGTGAGCCCAAGGTTTGTGCCGAGTAAAAGACAGGGCTGAGGACAGAGCATGTGGCTACAACGCGTGATGCTCTGGTTCAGCCTCCAGCATCAAAACAACAAAGTCCGGGGAGGGCAGACTGCAGTACACAGGCATCTTATGTCCCATTCCTCCATTAACAACTCTGCACACATGCACACACGCATACACACACACACACACACACACAGAGAGAGAGAGAGAGAGAGAGAGAGAGACAGACAGACAGACAGACAGACAGACAGACAGACAGACAGACAGACAGAGATATGCTGCACTGGGGCTATGATTCAACAATCATTTTCACCCGTCCCTCCTGGGAAAAGAACTGTGGATTCTTACATAGCCAGGAACAAGAAAGAGTAGACAAGATTTGGTGGTACTAAGAACTGTTTAGCAGCTTACTTCACTAAATTTTACTTTTATTTATTTATTTCCCTAACTCACTTTAAAAAGAAAAAAGTGTGAAATAAATGTCACCGTCTATTCCAAACTGGTCCTAAGCATGAGTACTTTTCTTCATTTGTAAAATTCACTCCAAAGAAGATAGAAAAAAAAAGAGGAATTAAGATTGTAACAAATATTCTTAAAAGTTTGACTACTCAGATTTTGTTATCAGAAAAACCATAAAACCATCCAGCACTTATTTGCTCAGAACTCGCCCTGCAGTGGAGGCGGGACTCACTGCCCAGGGTTGCCACAGTGAAGGAAACAGCAAAAGCAATGGGCAATTCTGAAGCCTGCTCAAGTGGTCACCGCTGGAACTGCACTTTAGCTCTTCCAACACTTCCACGGATGCTTAGATTTGTCTTCCCCTGAAGATAACACTTCATATAGAGCAATGAGGCACCACAAAGTCCTTCTTCTTGACAGTAAAGTGTTTTTTTTTTTGTTTTTTTTTTTTGTTTTTTTTTTTTGGTGGCACTAGAAGGAATGGTCATCGCTCTTAGCACATTAGCACAACACATGCAAAAATATTTAGCCACTAAAGCAAGCTCCCAGTAAGAAAAACATTTTTTAAAAATTAGTTCTGGTTACATTTTCCAGTTGTGCTTGCTTGTCTATAAACCACCATGTCAGAATGAGAAAAATGGTCGTTTGGGGCTAAGTGGACAGGTATAGTAACATAAAGGAAAAATGTCTTGTCACTGGCTCCTTTGTTTAGTCCATCTTTACTGGATTTCTCCTGTCTGACCCTGTCACTGTTTCCATGTGTCTAAATATTAATGTTCCAAATAATATGCAACCATTAAAATCTTTTCAGGGCCATCCTCTCCCACCTCTCTCCAGCAGCCCCATGTGAATTCAGCTTGAAGAAACACCCTCTGGAAACTGATACATGGATTCATTACCAGCTTGTATATGTGGTATTAAATCCTAAATAAATCTTGCATTCTCTGTGAGGAAATACTCTCCATCACTAATACTCGTCAAACATAAAGCTAGGGAGAGACTAGGTAACTGTCCAAGAACTGACAGCGTAACGGAGCCACCAAGTCAGCACAAGGGCATACGTTTTCTATAAAACATTTACTGCTTGGTCTTTGCTCAGTAATACCAAAGAATGAAAGGAAGTCATAGGTCAGTGGCCGCTGTAACATATACTATAACAATAAGCCAGAGTATGTGAATTATATTGGTTCCATAACCCAGAAGGAAATGCATCTAAGTTAAAATAAAAAAGACATTTCTGCACTATAGAAATGTCACCAAGTGCCAGGTAGAAACAACATGGTGATGGAGTTGTTAAAAGTTTTCTTGTTATGTCTGTTGGGGACAATTCAGACATCTACTCCCTGAAACCCTGGCAGGAGGAACTGTGGGCACAAGTGTCCAGCGGGGACCTCGCTCTAGGTTAAGAGTTCCCTCTGCGGGAACAAGGAGCTGCGGCAGCTTCTAATCCACAGCACCAATGCAATGGAGATGGGGAGATGCGGGGCCTGAGGCAACCGCAGTGAGGAAGAAGACTGATCGCCAAAGCTCCCTCTACCCAATGCCTACCCCCTTCTACCATCAAAGAGGCAAAGGCTGTTACAACTTTTACGACAGCCGTACATCCTGCCAAACTCGGCTTTTATAATGTCCTGGAAACTCCTTGCGGGACACAAGCCGGGTTTTGTCAATGGACAGATGTTATTTTTAACCAGAAGCCTTTTTCTTTATTAACAAATTAAGAGTAAGCATCACATTGGTGTGGCTGGAAGTGAACAGTCCATGTTGACAGCTCGGGGGGGGGGGAAGCGAACTCTTGTTACTGGGTTTGTTCTATTCACTCACAACTACAAGTGTCAGAGCTAGAATTTATAATAGTTGCTAGCTGGGTCCAGAAGTCCCCTTCCTACTTGGGTGAGTTTTTTCAAGTAACTAATTCCGCTTGCAGAGGATGCCTCTGGCACACTTCACAACAAAAAGAAACACCAGATGATTCGTGTCCATAACCAGTGGCCTCTACTCACATTCACAAAATAATTACAGGCAGAGTAAACACAGCATCAGAATAGGAGCTAGCCTTCCTAAACCACTAGGTCTTTCTTAGAAGGGATGCACCCCCCTTCCTGATAGATCACAACTATTTCCAGAATAAATCCAGCATGTACCAATTCGTTACTCCATTCTCTGAAACATCAGTGAACCAAATAACCCATTATTCATAATGAGCAGCTTTGGAAGATGTAGCTAACTTGTAGCTTCCACAACAGACTTCATGGGGACCACACCGCATCACTACCACCTACGTAGAGTGCAGGACACAGACAGAATCCATAGCAGGAATACTGTCCCAAACTCGAAAATACAATGTTTTTAAATGATTACGTACAAATTATTTCTCATAGGCAAGTGATTATAACAGGCAAAATGTATTAACTTATAAAATGCTAAAGAGACAAGTATTATAATATTCAGGAGGCTAAAGTTCACTGACTAGCTTTTTGTCTTTAGATCGGGATCTAAAAGGGACACACTGATTTATAGCTATCACTGCTTACTTTCCTGAAGTGTTTTATCCTAACCCGTTCTAGATACCTCTCTAAGTTGCCCCGAACTTTCGCCGCAGCATCAGAAATGCAAAGTTCTACCTTGCAAAAACAGCAAACCTTCCCATTACCTCCCTCCTAGGGCTGCTAAACGGTAATAAGAAAATGCAGCCATATCCATCTCTGTGAATGGATATAAAGTGACAGCAAGGAATGCACGCTGTCGATATTAAAAACATCATAAACGCAACCTACTGAGTCATCAGACATCAAAGACTGGTGCGTTTGCTTTTACGTGAAAAGCCAGACCCGCCCCAACACAGACCCCCAACCAGCCAGCCATTCCCAGCCACAGCACTGCAAATAGAGGCTACAATGGACCACAAGAAACAAAGTACACAGAACCCTGTGAGCTTAGCTAGGAAGGGGATCTGAGAGTCAGGCTTCTGAAAAGGCCCAGAATAGTAAAACTGTTTCTCAGGAAGAGTAATAATAACGCTCACAGCATAATTCTTCTCTACATTTTAAGAAAAAAAAATGTGTCTGTAGAGCTACAGAACAGTGTGCAAGGTAAAACCCACCAAGGAGCATAGCCTGGGTCCATCACAATGACTACACATTCCTCATGGGATTTACTTTATTGGATTTCACAGGATGCAGACATTGTAAATATCCTCATATTGTATACACACACACAGAGAGAGAGAGAGAGAGAGAGAGAGAGAGAGAGAGAGAGAGAGAGAGAGAGAGAGAGAGAGAGATGCACACAAAGAGACAAACAAAACAGCTGAGGAGACTCTACTGGGTGATTTTAGTTTACCCTGCTTCAGAAGACAGCAAACAGATAAAATATTTCCTGGAAAAATATTAATATCTGAGGGTATATTTTTCAGATTACAGCCTGGAAATAGTTTTATGATACTGAATTACACCCCTTCACTTCTCTTAAATAAATGGCTTCGCTTCTCTTGCTCTTCCGATGATGCCATATTTCAACTCTAAATTAATACCTCCCTTTGGTACAGAAGAGAATGAAGAAAAAAATGAGGCAGACAGGAAGACACGATAAGAGACCCACAAATGGCCATGGTCTCAAACTTTGTGTCTGTGGATCACTGTTCAACAAAAGGCCTTTAAAATGTTTTTTATTTGTAGCTTCTACTGAAAAAAAAAAAGGTAATAAAAATGGAAAGGCAAGAGCAATTTTCTTTAACATTCCTCGGCATGTCTTCTCTTTCAAGCCCCAGAAAAGTTAGTGCAGAGACATGCATAAAGCCATCGGGGCACCAAGCTGGACTCCAGCCATCCTCTGAGTCAGCGGCTTGCCAGGTGATTGCTCAGACAGAACTGCAAGGCTCCGCCGGAATGTTACAGAAAACACCAATCACAATAATCTCATTAATTGCACAGCTGTGATCACCTCCTTTCCAATGCTATGCATCCAACGTCTGCCCCAGGTATTTACAAACGGTGGGTGGGAGGAATCAGGAGGAATGGATGAACAACAGGAAGGGCTTCAGGACATCTGCTTCTCGTTTTCTCCCTAACCTGCCTCAGAACAAACCTTGAACCTCTCGTCACTGTTGGTTAACCATGCTCGGACCCATCCGCAGCCCTTCCTGCTCACATGTAGAAACTGAAACAGAAGTCACCTAAGTCTGCCCTGGGACCCACAGGAAGCACACTCCTCCCCCAATCAGGTGGTAATTTCCTGATATCAACCTGAAGCTACAAATCCTTCTTTACCCTCTTTCTCAGCCCAAGTCTAAGTGAGGCATTAGCTTCTCTTCAGCTAATCACATGCCTCAGTCAAGCACCTGAACCACTAAGAGCAGCTTCAGAGACAGGCAACAGGATGACTTCTAGGGTACAGAGCAGTAAGTAGAGTGACATGTGATTGTAACGTAAGTATGGTTCCTTTGAATGCAAAATGGCATGCTTAACATAAAGTGTACAAATTTAAATGCTTGTAGAGATGACAAGGTTTTACAAAGATGTGCAGTTACATGTGCATCTATGTGTTGGTGCATCTATATGTGTGAGCCCAGTAACAATTTTCTGATACGATAGAGGAAAGGAAAATATCTATGACCTTTGAACCACTTAATAATTGTATCTATTTGGACACAGTATTTAAACTCACTGTCTCCATCTGATAAATATGGATACTAGAGTTTGCATACTAAACAAATGACCCACAAGAAGAAACTAGCATATGGGCCCATCAATGAATATAACTGCCATTATTATTACTATTCAAGTAACATGTAATTTGAGAGCACAAATGTCAGTTAGGCACTATTTCAAATGAAACCTTTCCAATGCATTGAGTGTATCCTCATTCCACTGATTCTCTGACCTAAAAGGGCAAGCAATTTCCCATAAGCACCCTGTGAACCCTAGCAGGTGGGAGAGAAGCTTACCTTGTGGGCACAGGGACCTCGGTCAGGGCACCCAGCATGACAGCCTGCTGCAGCCGAACAAAGGCAATGAATGGAGTATCCAAGAAGTCAACCTCCCCGACAAGCACGTTGGAAGCTTCTGCATCACGTGGCAGTTTTTTCATAAATTTATTCTTCAACTGCACAGGAAGGGCCAAGAAAATACAATTTGTTTCAAGAGAGAGAAGAGTAAGAAAATATACCACGTCCATTCCTCATAGGAAATCTCTTGAAATGAGTCTTCACAGAGCAGTACTAGGCCAGACACTTTAATATTATGATTAACCATTATGTCATAGTAAACACCTATCTGTCCCTTCAAAAAAAAACTAAAGATGAAATAACATGGGATATATATATTATACACATACCCATACATATTAGTATGCAACATATCTCCATTAATCGATTTACACTCACTTAATACCCTATTGAGAATTTACAATGGTCTAAGCCAGAGGGCTAGCAGGAAGGAAAGACTCATTCCATACCCCTATCAGGTTCGTATTACCTTGGGGGACATAAAACATGATTTAAAGTAATGGAAAGTACTGAGAAGGAAAATGGGACAGATAAGAAAGTATTATTTCTCAGAGTTGTCAAGGAAGGCCTCTGAGGAAACACATTTGACAGTGGAGAAAGGATACAAACCATATGCAAAGACTTAGACTGAAAAACCAGGCAAGCAAAGGAATACTGGAAAGCCTTGGGACAGGAACAAGGTGGGTGGCTAACGGAGTAGTGCGAAGCCCTGTGTGGGAAGCTAAGAAGCAAAGAGAAGATAAGCCAACGCTGCATATACAATGGGGACCATGTCATGGGTCACTAGAGGCTATGGGAAAGAGCTGAGAAAGGTAGGAAGATGTCTCCTACATAACTTGAGCATGACTTGGGAGCCACCAGTATTAAAGGCCACAGAACAGAATAACACAACCCCGAGGGTGAGCATAGACTGAGAAAAGCACCAAGACTCAGACCCTTCATAGACACTCTATCCTTCATAGAGACAGAAAGCATTGTGGAAGACCATGGAGAAGAGCAGTGAAGAAGAAAACTAAGACTTTATCAACAGCCATAGAGGAAAGGCTGAAATGATGACCAGGTATTAGCAGCTGCATCCTAAGCTAGTGGAGTTTCCAAAAAGATGGATCGAAGAACCTAGCCCAACAGCCATGCTGGAAAATAAGAGTAGGTACAGTGGCCATCAGGGAACCACTGGAGACTGGGAGCACAGACCATTATGTTAAAAAAAAATATATTGGGCTGGAGAGATAGCTCAGAGGATAAGAGCACTGGCTGTTCTTCCAGAGGTCCTGAGTTCAATTCCCAGCAACCACATGATGGCTCACAGCCATCTACAATGAGATCTGCAGGCCAAACACTCACTGTATACATCATAAATAAATAAATGTTTAAAAAATATATATTGCTACAAAGAAAAGATGAGTAATGGGAAGGTCGGTGGAAGAGAGTGCAAAATGGAAAAAAAGTTTAGAAGTGTGGATATCACAGACCTTTAGAAAGTGAACAGAATGAGCTAATGGAGGCAGATTGCTGCTATAGGAACAGTAGAGAATAAGTACAAAAATAACTGCAAACCAAACATCCTGGAACTACCGAGCAGGGGTGGTATCCGCATCCCAGATAGAGGAGTCAACTGTACACAGGAACACAGCTTACAAACCTACCAAAAAAGCAGACTGGATGGGTTTGAACGTGGGTGATTTGAGAGACTTGCTAGGTGGTGATGAGGGCTTCTAAGGACTCATATTTCTGCAGTGAACCAAAAGTGAGCTGATGGTGAGGGGGAGGGAAGTGTGTGGAAGATTAGGGAGAGTGTAAAGCCATTTTTTCTCTCAGTGAAGGCTGCTGGACACAGTGGATTTGAAAGTTTCTCTAATACTCATTATTCGTTTATCCAATTCAGAGGAATTATTTCAGCAATAATGGACGGATAAAGATAAGAACTTGACAAAACCAGCCGGGCGGTGGTGGCGCACGCCTTTAATCCCAGCACTCGGGAGGCAGAGCCAGGCGGATCTCTGTGAGTTCGAGGCCAGCCTGGACTACCAA